AAAGGAGGACGACAAAATTACAGACAATCAGAGAGGCCGTTGTTTATATTCAGAAACTCCAGGAGACCTTGACTGGAATCCGCCGCATCTGAGCGGAAGATGGTAAACATTGAGCAAGGTTCAAGTTTAAAATATTTCTTTAACAACTTTGTAAACAAAGTTAAATCATTAAGATTATTTGATATTTGTAAAGCAATTATCCTATTAATAGTGTAAAGTTGTAATATGCATGTTATTTTTTTAGTGACCTTCAGTTACACTCAGATGTCCGTAAGTTTATGTTATGCCAACACGCATTAACAATTTAACCAAGGAAAAACGCTTTTGAGTTCAAAGCAAAGTTAAAAGAGCGTGGTTCTTACTCAGTCAGTACTTACTTAAAAATTACTTTGTACACGGATTACCACAACACAAGCTAAAAGCAGATATACATAGTCTTTAGAGTTGACAGGAGTTACTCCTAACGCAATATGTTGAAAAAATGTTAACGTGTCAAAAATCAAGGGGATTCCGTAAAACGAAGATGGGAACGGCGGACTGCAAACGGCGGACTGCGAATAGTGGACGGAACAATAAAATTAAAATAAAAAATACAGTACCAAAAATTACGTCATTATAAGCAGAAACATCTTCGTATCACTGTTAGAAATTTGTTGGAAAAGTTCGGAAAGGGTCGAAAATTGTTTAAGTGTTCTAAATTTTATACTCCACACACTCAAGTATTTAATTCTGCATCTTTCTATGTATACAAACTTTCCGAGCTTTTTCAGACTGATTTCTGGCAGTAATCCCGAAGATATTTCGTCTTATGGTGACCTAGATTTAAATAATTCATCTCTGATGTTGTCTCTGTTTTCCACCGTCCGCCATCCGCTGTCCTCGCTCGATAAACTTGTAAACGGTTTGCCAGTACTTGTAACTTTATTCCAAATTTTTTTCTATTTTTGATTTCTTGTGCTACGGTTTTCTCATTGGCAGAGAGCATTCTTTAAGTAGATTTTCCACGAGAGTGGCATTTTTTAAAAGATTTATAAACAAAATACTTTATCTAATTTATTTTCAATTTTTAATTCCAGTAAAGTGGCCTTGCGTGACATCCAGCAAATTTGGTACTGGCGGCTTTGATTTCTCAGCTTATTCCAGTTTAATTTCATTCACATTTTCCCTAAAAATGAGCAAACTCAAAGCCAAGTTGGCTTTAAGAATCATAGCTATTAAATGCTTTGTTTTTCAAAAAGCACGGTGTTGTTCAGTAGTTCTCTATATCTTTGTACACTACAGTGGTAAACCTTTCCAGTTTGTTGACTCTATATCAAAAAGATCTTAAAAGCTTTTGGTGGAAATTCTAAATAACAGTGACAGCCAACGAAAAACATCCTTTAAAAATCATCAGTTTTGTTACGCATCCTAACGTCAAAAAATTAAACAAAATCTATTTTACCAACCTACCCCACCCATACTTACAGATCGCCATTCATTCAATGATGAGTGACAAGGTATGTTGCGTGACAACAGCTTTCTCTAAATTTGTATGCAGCTCCACAAACTCTCCTTCCATTACAAGTTTTTGACTACAGTACCAAGTTCGAAATAAATATTCCACTTGATTAAATTTTTAAACTTTCCGCTATAAGGTGTTGTAAGTTTTCTGTTACAAGCTTCAAAGAAGTTGAATTAGTTTATTTATTTAAAGGATTAAATAAGCACAAATCTATTGTCTTGATAACTAAAGATAATTGAAAAAAAAAAAGACAGATACATGAGAGTCCATGCATTTTTATCTGAAACTCATCGTTCGCTTACAAACGTCTCGCAAACTTGGAAGAAGCTTTACTGCTTACTTAAAGTAAGCTTCATGCTAAATAGACGTCAATTAAAATCATTCGTTTTCTCTGTTATCACTACAATCAAAAGCAACAGGTTGTCATTTGAACCATTTTTAAGCCGTTCAATACTTACGGATTTAATTAGAAGAAAGAGAAACAACAGCTCAGCACCATTGCTTCTTCTATCTTGGTTGTATCCTTTAAAAGAGTAATGGCAAAATACATTGCGTAACTTGCATGGTGTTTAAAAGGCAACCCGAGAACAAGTCATTTATACCACCACTAAACGACATGAACAGTGCAGGGAATAAGGAATAAGAAGGAACGCACATACCTTGTTTTAACTGTCCCTTAAAGATCATCTACACATGTGGCTGAAAAGGGAGCGCGAATGAAAGAAAACGCTGGCTGCGAGAATTCGTTCCCAGTGTGCATTTGAAGATATCGCTGCGAGGTTATTCGGAATACATTATTATTCGGAATATATTATTATTAGGAATATATTATTATTCGGAAGTTCCGAATAATTACACAACAGTGCGTTGCTCAGTTCAGTTGCTGTGCTGACTCCCTCCATCCCTCAGGTTGGCGCCACGCGCCAACAGAAGAATCTGTCGTATGCACGTAGGCCCTACAGAAAATAATTTCCCACGATCGCCTTTGAGAAAAAATTTTGAAAGAACATGATCGAAAACCGTTGTTCAATCGAATTTTCTCGTAATCCTTACGTCCTGGTCTCATGAAATATTGAGAAAATTCACTGAAGCCCTCGTTTCATGAAATTGTCTGTTTGTTCTCTGTTTTCTACCGTAAAAGAACGCAAAAAAATGGCAAAGGGTGCGTTCCTTTGGGAGGATCCGGATTTGGATTTGTGATCCGAGATTACACAGATCATGTTGCACGAAAGGATCAGAGTTTAAGACGAGCTCTCAGAGGATTCCAAAAAGTGCGCTATTTTAAGACGTGCGTCTACACGTGGGTTACTGAGCTCTTCCCTGAATGGCTCGTCTAACTGCACGGGCTTTTAGCGCGCACTATTCATTAAAAAGTACATTTTTCCGTGGTAAACTCAAACGATGGAATTAAGGGCCTGTTTACATGTAGGTGGGGGACCCCAGGTAGGTGAGGTAACGCGCGTAAGTTGGGTAACCTGCCTGTCCATATAATTTCTTATTTTATTTTGATCACGTTTACATGATAGGTGGGGTGACCCGCCCAGATGGGTTGCCAGGTCTGCCAGGTAGGGTAACCCTGTTAGCCGGGGAAACGTGTCAAGGTGGGGTAACCTGCCTAGCCGGGGTCGCGTTCATGGCAAAAAGTTCAAAAGCGAAACATGTATGTTTTAAAACTTTGTAAATTTCCCAGCCGTCTCATGGCAGAAATCACCGGAAAACGCAACGGACACACAAGGAGTGTAAAATGTTCACATTTCGGAATATTTAACGTTGTAAATCGACCTTATTTGGTTTCCCAAACTATTCCGTATAACGTATTAAGTCAACGGTTCCTCGCGAAACCAAACACCGCGTTACACAACGCGTGAAAAAATACATACATGTTCGAGAATTAATCTTTCGTCTTTTTCGAGGTAGGAGGTAGGGGACCCCAGGTAGGCGAGGTAACCTGCCTAGCCATGGTCGAAAAATAAAACGCGTTTACATGCAATCTTACAACCCCAGGGTGCTGGGGTGAGGTTTCTTGAGGTTGTTGTTGCGCTTGCAATTAAGGAGTTTGAACAGAGGCGTCCTAAGCTCACATCTTGAATAAGACGAAAGATTAACTCTCGGACACATACGTATTTATTCATGAAAGCGTCACGCGTTGTGTTTGGTTTCGCGAGAAACCGTTGACTTAATACGTTTACATATTTGACGTTGAAAGTTCGATATGCGATCATTAACAAGAAGAGATAACAATTCTAAGAATTGTTTTTCTGTTGTTGAAAACTCATTTAAATTCTTCTTCACTTGAACTTGCGAACTAGTACTTCGTTAAGAGATTCAAGGAACTCCCAGTCATGTTTCACACAATCTCATTTATTTGGTTTTTACTTCACAACGCTGGCTCCAAACAACTAGTCACTTTAAAGCCGAGTAAATTCAAATGCATCAGATGACCTGCTGATGTAACTTTTCGCTTATCAAACCATATCACCCTCTTTTCACGTGTTTATTCATTCTGTGGGTCTCCAATGCTTGTACAGCTTCGTCTGATTGGGTACCAGCCCTCCTATTCTCATACACATTCCTTCTACTCGCACAAGCGTCCGTCCACCGGTTCAATAATTTGATGTCCTCAATGTCTTCAATAAACTCGTCAATGTAGAGGTCATTGAACCTTAGACTCATCAGGGTGATGCACTTGTCTAACTCCTTTAAAGGAGGACCCTGGGTCTTGCCATTGGTTCTTTCGCTCCTACCGATGTCGTTGTTGTTGTTACCCAGTTCAACAGAATCGTTTTCGTTTTCCCAGTGCACCTTTTTCTTCCTGTTATTGCCCGGTCCGGTATGAGGTGGTTTCCCGTCTCCTATGCAATGTAGTATCTCCTTGATTTTCCTCATCATAAATTTCCCAAAGCTAAATCTTCCTTTGGAGAACTGCGTAACGGTTCGGTTATTATAAATAAGAATGGAAATGAAGATGTTAACCCATATCACTTGCAGACATATGTTGAAAACTATGAAGAAAATAGGACCAATGACATCATGAAAATCTTGGAGATATTTAGCCCCGTCGCTTAAGACTCCCTGGATGAGAAGGGACCGGAAAGCACTAGAGAGCGAGGAATACTCCTCCACCTCCCTTCCAAATTGAATGAATCCCAAATGAGTAAAGGCGAACATGAAGACGTAAAATCCTACTGAGCAGTTTACGAGTTCCAGGAAAGACGCCTTCGTGACATCAGACAAACGTTTACCATGACCATTAAATCTGAACAGATATAGCAACTTCAAAGTGTTGAAAAACATTAATAAAGCCAAAAATGCTGTCTCCATATCATCGAGTAAAACGGTTCTGTCAAAGCTTATAAACTGGAAGACATTTTCATGAAGTTTAGTCGAGTTAACAGAGAGTTCTACCTCTTTAAAGATATGAGCGACTGCAAAGGAAATTGCTGCAAAGATCTGAACCACTTCAATGCAATTCATAAATCGACGGAAGTAGTGTTTTGTTTGTTGAATCATCTCTTTGGTTTCTTTGAAGACGAAGTAAACAATAAACAACACGAACAATATCTGACAAACAAGATGAGCGACACTGTAGCCAGCTCCAATGTTGTACACGTGAAGAGGGTGAATCATGTGACCAGAAGCCACATAGCCAGATGGTGAGAACTCCACCGGTATCCAAACTGCACTAAACAGACTGACATGAGGGTTGAAAACTACAAATTCAATCAATACAGTACTAGTGTACTTGTCAAACCAGTTTAACATGTTCAGCTCAGAAATGACTTTCGTGGCAGACTTTCTGTCGTAGCCTAGCTCTGCTAGGTAACCACCCTGACTATAAAGAGGATTAAGTCTTCCCCAAAAGGGAAAGCTTTCGGTTTGCTCTGCTGTGGAATAACGCCAGGGCTTTGGGCAGACCTTGTTCAATGTTTCAGTTGATGAATTCAGTGACGATAAAAGTGGAAGCCATCCTGGCTGATATAAATCCGTTTTATCTTCAGCTTCTAGTGAATATGACGCGATGCAAGAGTTGAATAGAGATTTCGCTTCCTTAACGACATGACATGAATCTAAAAGAAAGTAAAAGTCAAAAAGTAAATCTTTAACGGTTTACAGCATTTTACTGCCAGTCATCCTGCTGAAATATAATACACATATATGTATTTTCACCTTTCTTCACTCTTAGCTGTCTAAGGCGGGGCATCCCAACAAGGACTACATCACCTTCTCCAGTGAACGTAGTAGAATTTGAAAAAGCCAAGTCCTCACCGTCCTGGTAAATTCCTGGTAACAAAACGTCTTGAAGCCACTGCCACATGTTCTCGAGAGTCAAGATCTAACGAAGCAATGCAGTGTTAAAAAAATAATCTACATAACTGGAAATTCAAAGAAAATCAATCAGTTCAGTGTACAGTTATTATGAACTCATTTCCTTCCTGGTAGTCAACACAAAGATACTATAAGTTGACAGCGATTCAATTTTTACCACATTTCGCCTTAAAATTGAAAATGCAAGCATGCTCACAATAGTACAGTAGATAAATGAAGGGAGGCTTGAACATACCTCATTCACCTCTCCAAATTTTTGCTCTAGTGAAAATTTCAGAGAATAACTGTACTGACTCCGACCTCCATAACACATGATCATCAGTATCAAAAGGTATAGAAAATAGCAGACTATCTTCTGTATCGCCTTATACACACGCAGTTCTCGCATTCGATAGATCCTCGCACGGCGCAATTCTTTCTTGCTCAGGGGCTTTGGTGAGACAATTTTTTCGTCGTTTTCATCCTCCTTTTGGCCTTCGGCAAAGATAACTTCATCAAAATGTACGACCGTCCTGGGAGTTTGAGCAAGTTCATCAGCATCCGACTGACAAAAGAACGACAAAAATAAAGCCACGACGACGATCTTTACAGGTTCGGTAACAAATATTTCCAAAAACAAGGACATAACAATGGAGATAAGCCATTCCTCGCTTGTCTCTTTACCCCAATGTAAACTATATATAATAATAAAAGTTGCTGATGCAGCTGAAGAGATGAAACACAGAAACCAGGCCAAGTAAACAAAGCAATACGGTAGAGTCATGCGAAGGCCTCTTCGGTATCGATGTTTCTCGGTAACCTTGTGGATGCTGAACCTTTCTCTAACCTTGTATCTTTGTTGACGTTGCCCTGGTGTGTCGACATTGGTTGCCACGTGACTGAAGATTCCTACTATTATCAAATTTATGGGCAAAACTACAACAATGCTCTCCAATGCAATAATTAGTTGTCGCAAATTTAGGACTAGAGGGCCCATCCTAAATGTGCGCTGTTGCTGAACGTGCCCAGGAACAAACTGATAAAACATGGCACTGGCCAACATTGTGGTCAACAGAAGTGACAGGCAGCACGACAAACGCTGCACGCGAGTGAAGCGTCTACTCGGTGGTCTGGTTGCGACAGAAAACCACAGATGCCCATCACCCAGTTTTCCGGCTACCGTATTCCGGCAAGATTCCCAGAAATTTTTTCGCTTCCCGGCAGCTGAATCGGCAGCAAGAGTGCGATCTATTAATCCGTCGCCCTTCTCAACAGCTAACCACTTGTGACAGGTAAAAGTCTTAAGCTCCTGACTGAACGCGTCATAAATCTTGATTGTGTTTAGATACCAGGAGGGGCTTTCACCAGAGTTGTCATGCCACACGCGCACTCTCCGTAAGGGGCCAACATAACTCGGAACCGAGAGGGTAAAACACATTAAGCTACCTCTTGCAAATGGAATGAAGGAATCGCTCTTTAAATGATGAGGTCGACTGGATTCCATTTCGCCCTCAAGCACAAGATACACCTTAGCACTGGTACCAGAATCAAACCAAATGCCTGTGGATATTTCAATCTCGTATCGACAACACCAGGGTGACAAAGATCCCAAAAATGGTTTATCGCCAATCTGAAATGAACGACAAAGCGGACGTTGTTTGATGACTTTATAATTCTAATTTAAACACATTTAAAAGATGTAGAATAAGGTCATCATCCTCTCCTTGAGAAACATACTGACACCTACCTTCAAAGTATCTTTCTTGTCGGCCTTCCGAACCCACAGTATAAGTATTAAGTAGAGTCCGAATACACAGCTCACTGTCATTATAACAGCTACATTTCCAGTCTCTGGAATACGTTTTAATTCAACAAATACTTTGTCAAAATCGATGGGGTTTGGTGCCACGAACAATTCACCTCCAAATGCAGTCAAATGGTTGCAGTGGCAGTAAATCATGTCCATGGTTGTTGTTTCAGCCACCTGTTCATAATGCAAACCATTGTCAATAAGAAAACACTAAATTGTCTGTATGAACTTAGTTCCGCACTTGATTTGATAAAGAAAGTGGTTAGATAGCATTGACACTGAACAACAATGCTCACTTACCTTACATCCATCAAACGTCCATTTAGACATTGTGGTATTCCAATAGAGACAGGCAGCTGGCATGACTTGTATGGTGTAATTTTCATCGCCCTTCCTAAAGATTCGATTGCGTGGAGACTGTCCTGCTTTAGTATCGTCTGCTGCAGGGACGTCTTTATATTGCACACATGCGCGTTTTGATCGTCCTTGCCCTAAGCACCGCCTATTCCTAGAAGGACTCTTTGACTTGATTTGTAATCCAATGAAGTAAATTCCTGTCTTTTTGATGAGTTTACTGTCTACGAGTACCTTATATGGATCAGTTGAGCAGTTGACATAACCAGACGACATCTGAGCGCAGGTCGAGAAGTTAGGGACGGTGACGTTTATATCACTGTTATTAGCTGAGGGTCGTTTTCCAAACTTAAGTGTCACAAACAATTCTGTTTTGCTATTTTCTGGACGAACCCTCAGTATCAGAGTTATCCCTAAATGAGTGACATTTATCTTGTGGAACACAGTCTTACGAGTACCAACGGAGTATGATCGAGAGGTGTTAATTAAGTTGTAATTATTACGCAATTTGATAGTCATCGGCGTTGTCAGTTCTGTTACATTAAAGAGATGCCCATAGCTGTTTTTAAACTCAAGGCTGAAAACTCCACTTGTCAATCTCGCCGCTGAAGGGTGCCACGAGTAAGATACAAAACTTGTTGTGATCATCTGAAGCAAAAACGGAATTGTGAAATGTGGCCCACTAATCTACCTTTTCCACATAGAGTAAACTTCTAACTCAGACGCTTTGGTTCATAAAATAACTAAAAAATTTTTCTGGAAGAAAGCCTTAACAGGCTGTCACTGTTACTCTGATCTTCTGCTGACATGAGAACATACCGGTAAGCAATATGTGCACCATAATGTTAATAATTAAAAAGCGGCTTTTTCGTTGATTCTTAATACAAAATCTATTTTCTGCTTGATATCCATAACCTGTTGAGACTAAGGCGGGCAAAGAAAAAGACTGACTGTCTACATGTTGCAAATTAGTCAAAGAACAGGTGACGTTATTTCAATACCTGGCTATCCACAAACAATGTACTATTGCCGAACAGATTCGAATCTGAAGGAAGAGCAAAACTGTAGTCTTGGTTGGACAAAACAGATCCTGGTAGCAAGTGAGGCTCCTCTCGGAAAATAAGCAGAGACACAGGCTGGGATGACAGCTCTCTTGGCTTCTCACCGACTATGGTTCGAGACAAGATGGTTTTTCCAACATTTTCCAGCGACTGTAAAAGGCCCAGAGCTCGTTCTCTTGACTATAAAATACAGTAAGAAAGGCAGCTGACTGAAACTACGATTGCTAATTATTTTAATTTTCAGTATTTATATAAAAAATGTTGATACAATTCAGGGAGTGATTGAAGTAATTGAACCTACGAGGTAACTTAAAAAATGACTTGGTTTTCTTTATGAATGAACTGGTCTGTGGATTAAGTTTCATTAGGGCTGCTCATAAGCTGATTGCAAGAAAAAAGCACATTAATTTGAGATTCCCTCATTCCCCCCCTTCCCCAGCAGAATGATTAACGACTACGATCGCTTTTTTGTAACCCAGCAGGAGCTCGCTGCTTCTAAAGATGTAAAGCCAACCAATTCCGCCCAGGGTAAACGTCGCACTATTATACCTCATTCCTCCCTTGTAGCAGCTCAGCTGCAGCGTCTTGCTTTGATCTTTGTTGGACAGCAGGGTCTAGAGAACGAAGGCTTTTTCGTTGGCGGTGGACATGGGCCGAATCCACCTGGTGGGTGTCCCTCATCTCGTATTCTCTTGCCCAGTATGAAGACACCTTGAGCATGCCACCGAGACCAGCAGCAAGACTTCTTGCACCGTCCAAAAGCGCCTCGTAACTTTTCCCTGCTGAGGATTCTTCTTTCAAAACTGTAGTCATGGACTGAAGGGCATCTGCTGCTGCTCTCTGAAAGTTCATCACCACATTGGTGTTCATTAAGGTTTCACAAACTATCATTCAAGGAGGACTCCACCTTCTCCAGGTCAAAATTGAGCTTTGAAAGTTGTTTAGAAAAATTTAATGTTTATGAAAAAAATAGATGCGTAAAAAAAAATTTACCTGTGCTTCTGCGGTAACTTCGCCAACAACCGAGACGGCCTCGGCTATAACCTTGGATATTTGTTGTATTCTTTCCACAGTCTCCACTTGTACAGCAGACAACTGTTTTACAATACTGGATTTCACCTGCACAAAATAACGTTTACGAATGACTGTTACCTATAGATAGAAAGGCTTGTCGTGATCAGCATTTCACCCCAGAGACAAGTTTTCAGTCCAAAATCAGACCCTTTCCGGTGTCCATTGTTGCACAGTCCTCATACGGTGCAAGTTTGTCAACTTGTGGATAATTAATATTTGTTATTTTGAACTTGAAGTCCAAATTTACATTAAGTTGTTTTACAATTCTTTGTAAATATTTAGCAAGTTTTCCGTCGGATTTTAAGAAACTGCTCATGAAAACCATTATCGAGTACTCACCCCTTTCTTCTTTTCTTTGAGCTTATTCTGAGGAATTTTTTCATCAACGTCAACAGCCACAATGGCTGCTTTGGCCAGCTGAACAGCCTGTGACAAGTCTCCTGACTGAAGTAATTTATTCAACTGACTTTGGTTTCCAGTCGTCAACTGAACAGCGCGGTCCACAAGCCTCTCTGCGTTTAACTGAAGCTGCAGCACCTGATATTAGATAAGAGGAAAAGTAATCAAGAGAATCATTTCAATAAACAAATGTTCAAAAGGAATGGGCAGAAGGTGCACGTTTTGATGAATTTGGCTTTTTCTTCTTTAAGAGGACGGGCTGCAAATTACTGAATCGCATAACGTCCGTATGTGAAGCCTGCATTGCAACCGTTTCAGAGCTGGAGCCAGTCTACAGCGGCCACCATAACTGTATGCATCAAAAAATGTGTTTCTCTACCAAACCTACCCAACTAAGATGGTGGCCACATATTTCGCAAAGAGGTAATAAGCATTGGTCAACATTTGCTGTTCAAAAATCTACCACTACTGCAAGACACCAGCTCGTAAAATCGACGCACGATTCTCACCTTTCATCATAAAGCAATGAAAAGTTTCAAACTGTCAAAATAATGCAGCCTCATAGAAAATTGTCTGAATTCGAATGCATTCGTTCCATACCTGAACAGGAGTCCTCACTTCAGTAAAGGCTCCGAACATGTCAGCCACTCGTACACGAAAGTCGATTGTAAAGTTTTTTATCTGTTGTCCAGCGGGAAGCGTTGTCTTAATACTTCTTTCCATCCCTTTGTATACAACGTTGGGAAAAACATCATCGATGAAATAAATGAATGAATACTGCAAAGG